CGGAAAAGGCTGCAAGAGAGGGAAACATGAGACAACTGTATGATACAACAAAGAAACTTGCTGGAAATTACCGTCAACCAGAAAGACCAGTGAAAAACCAGGAAGGCAAAGTAATCAACGATATTGAAGAACAACGAAACAGGTGGGTAGAACACTTCAACGAACTCTTGAATCGACCAGCTCCACTGAACCCACCCAACATCGAAGCAGCACCCACAGACCTCCCAATCGATATTGGCCCACCAACAATTGAAGAGATCAGCATGGCCATTAGACAAATCAAGAGTGGCAAAGCAGCGGGACCAGACAACATCCCGGCAGAGGCACTGAAAGCAAATGTACCAGCAACTGCCAAGATACTCCACATCCTCTTCGGTAAGATTTGGGACGAAGAACATGTACTAACAGACTGGAAAGAAGGACTTCTCATCAAGATACCAAAGAAAGGCGATCTGAGCAAGTGCGACAACTACAGGGGCATCACTCTCCTCTCAATACCAGGAAAAGTCTTCAACAGAGTATTGTTAAACAGGATGAAGGATTCAGTGGACGCTCAACTTCGAGATCAACAAGCTGGATTTCGTAAGGATAGATCGTGCACAGATCAAATCGCAACTCTACGTATCATTGTGGAACAATCAATCGAATGGAATTCATCACTCTACATCAACTTCATCGACTACGAGAAGGCATTTGATAGCGTGGACAGGACGACACTATGGAAGCTTCTTCGACACTACGGTGTGCCTGAGAAGATAGCAAATATCATACGGAACTCTTATGATGGACTAAACTGCCAAATCGTCCACGGAGGACAACTCACCGACTCGTTTGAAGTAAAGACCGGTGTTAGGCAAGGTTGCCTACTCTCACCCTTTCTCTTTCTCCTCGTGATCGACTGGATTATGAAGACGTCAACATCTGAAGGAAATCACGGAATACAGTGGACAGGCAGGATGCAGCTTGACGATTTAGACTTCGCGGATGATCTGGCTCTTCTATCACAAACGCAACAACAAATGCAGGAGAAAACGACCAGTGTAGCAGCAGCCTCAGCAGCAGTAGGTCTCAATATAAACAAACGGAAAAGCAAGACTCTCCGATACAATACAATATGCACCAATCCAATTACACTTGACGGAGAAGCTTTGGAGGATGTGGAAACCTTTACATATCTGGGCAGCATCATTGATGAACACGGTGGATCAGATGCAGATGTGAGGGCGCGGATCGGCAAAGCAAGAGCAGCATACCTACAGCTGAAAAGCATCTGGAGCTCAAAACAATTGTCAACCAACACCAAGGTTAGAATTTTCAATACAAATGTCAAGACAGTTCTACTGTATGGGGCGGAGACGTGGAGAACTACGAAAGCCATTATCCAGAAGATACAAGTGTTCATCAACAGCTGTCTACGCAAAATACTTCGGATCCGATGGCCAGACACTATTAGCAATAAGTTACTGTGGGAGACAACAAACCAGATTCCAGCAGAGGAAGAAATCAGGAAGAAGCGCTGGAAGTGGATTGGGCACACCTTGAGGAAATCACCTAATTGCGTCACAAGACAAGCCCTCACATGGAATCCTGAAGGTTAAGGGAGAAGAGGAAGACCAAAGAACACATTACGCCGAGAAATGGAGACAGACATGAGAAGAATGAACAAGAACTGGATAGAACTAGAAAAGGAAGCCCAGGACAGAGTGGGTTGTAGAATGCTGGTCGGCGGCCTATGCTCCATTGGGAGTAACAGGCGTAAGTAAGTAAGTAAATCTTCCACATATTTACGTTTGTCGGTCCTGATGCTCCTTTTCACTTGCTTGTTTGCCTCTGTGTATTCGACTTGTGCCTTGGCTTTTTCCGCTCTTGTTCGGCTGATATTGATTGCTGCCTTCTTGTTCCTCCTTGCTTCAATCTTATCCATTGTACCAACAGTGATTCATTCCTTGTGATGGTGCTTCTTTTGGCCCAGAACCTCTTGACACGTTGAAACGATTGCCTCCTTGATACCTTTCCAGTTGCTCTCCATGGTAGTCCCCTCTCCATTGAGTAGATCATAAAAGGCCTGGAACCTGTTGCTGAGGGCTATGTTGAATTTGTCAGCATCTCGAAGAAAGGCCGTGTTAAACTTTTGTGATGTTGTCCGCGCCGTTGTCCAGTGCTTCTTAAGTTTTAGTTTCATCTTGACGACCAGCAAATGATGATCGGATGCTATATCAGCTCCTCTTCTGGTTCTCACATCCTCCATCGTCCTCCTGAACTTTTTGTTGATGCAGACATGGTCGATTTGATTTTGTGTAGTGTGATCCGGTGAAATCCAAGTGGCTTTGTGTATGTTTTTGTGTGGGAATATGGTGCCACCTATGACCAGTTTATTGAAGGCACATAGGTTTGCAAATCTCTCACCATTTTCGTTCCTTCCTCCCAGTCCATGTCGTCCCATGACGTCTTCGTATCCAGTGTTGTCCATTCCAACCTTAGCATTGAGATCTCCCATCAGAATTGTCAGGTCCTTGGTTGGGCACTTCTCGACGATCGACTGCAGCCTATCGTAGAATTGGTCTTTAGCGTCTTCATCGTAGTCATTGGTAGGCGCATAGCATTGGATGACGTTCATTGAAATGCCCTCTCTCTTTGTTTGGAAGGAGGCTTTGATGATCCTTGGTTCATGAGATTCCCATCCAACAAGTGCATTTTGTGCTTTTCTGGACAGCATCAATGCAACTCCTTGTGTATGTGGGGCATTTTCTTCTTCATGACCGGAGTATAACAGAAGTTCTCCTGAAGACAGTCGTTGTTGTCCAAGCTGCGTCCAATGTGTTTCGCTGATTCCAAGAACCTCCAGGTTGTATTTTCTCATTTCTGCAGCAATTTGGAAAACTCTTCCGGTCTCCCACATTGTTCGGACATTCCATGTACCTATAAAAATTTTCGCTCTGGTTGTAAGAAGGTGCATCGGCCTCATGACTTCCGAATGAACTCGGCTTTCATCATGAGACGTCATAATTATTCCTTCTACTCCCAGGGCAGAGTTTGTAAGGTTTGAATGATTTTTTCTGGTTAGCGTTTTTTTAGCGAGTTGATTTTCTACGGGATGGGGTCGCTAACCCCATGCCCAACCCTCCTCCTTTACCCGGGCTTGGGACCGGCAGTAGCCCCTGGAGGAGCTACAGGCGGAGTTAAGAAAACTAATATGTTACCAATTAAGAACGGATTTTTTGTGTTTGATAAATCTAGTATGATTTAGAACAACATATATTAGCGAACAATATTGTTTTCGATTAGATCCTCATCAGGTTCTACTCTAATATACAGTAATATTTCTATGCATATACGAAATTATTAAACCAATCAAGGCAGTTTATGAGTCAATGATAACAGAGGAATAGATTACATAATTAAAAAATAATAATAAGTGAAAAGTACAAATTGGTAATGTAATGACAGGTGTGCTAGTTGTGATAAGAATAATAAAAGGCTTGAGTCAATGTTACATAATAGAGAAATAGGTCAATGATTAGAAAAAAATATAGACACTGAAATAACATTCAGTGTTCAGATAATTGGACCGTGAAGCGAATATTAGAAAAATTATAAGTAAATAATTGGTAGGGGGGGTGAAGAAAAATAAACGAAGAAAGAATATGGAAAATAAAATTATGTATTAAGGCCAAGGGAGAGATAAGGGTGTTACAAATTTCTTATGAACACCCTACCAATTATTTACTTATTATTTTTTCAAATATTCGCTTCACGGTCCAGTTATCTGAACACTTCTTATTACATAATCTTATAAATTTTATGAATGTTTTATGAATGGTTCTTGGTTCCATTTTGCAAGGTATCACGGAAGCAAACCTAATCAGAATCTTGATAAAACACAGGTTAATTATTTCGACAAATTGATTTCCAATAATTTTCCAGTTATAATGAAACTCACCTCCATATTTCAACAACCCTTTTACCAATCATGTAATTAATAAACATATGATATTTCAAAATACCTATGAAATTAATGGATATTCACGCGAAATTCATATAAATAAATAACACACTAAATAATGGAATATTTTCAATCACACTTAAACAAAATATTATAAACAATAATTGAATAGGAACTGGATTCGATATGGTGAGCCACTCAGATGTAGACTAATGAGAAGGTCAGTCGATGGCAATTAGAACTGACCTAAAGTTGAAGTGCATCTTATTGGCTAAGAAATGAATCAATTTCCTAAGGGTTAGATGGGTATATAAACGAAAGAGTATTTAGTCGTCTTATTCGGTAGCCCAATATACTTTGTCACACACGCTAGTGTTCACTCTCAAGTAGTCAGTTGGGTAGTTAGTGTGTTGCACAGTGTGTATGAGTATCAGATTTCGGACACCACACGTCGCAACAGGAAAAGTCTGTCAATTTATCTGACTTTTATTATTAAAAGTCAGTTAATATTTGCGAGTAATTTGAACTAAGTGACAGAAAATGTATTGTGCAAACACTTAGTTATGCTTGATATAATTCATATATTTGATTCAATGAACACATTATAACGATTACTCTTTAAACATAAATATATACATAGGACAAACTCAGAATTAATTAGTGCTGTGTACAATATTTATTAAACGGGTATTTTAGACATTTCATAAGTCTTAGGCCCAAATTTAATGACAGTTTATATTCGCTAACTTTGCATTCGAGTCTTATCATATTTTCTTTCATTCGATTTCATTTTAAAGTCATCTTTGTCTTTATAATACCATTTATTTCTATATTCGTAAGCTGAACTGCAGCCAGCTGAGAGATCTGAAGATAAGTCATTTGAAATATCAAAAGTCTTTTGTTGAAAAAAATCCTTTTTTAAAAGTACTGTCATATGTGTTGAATAAAGTCTATTGATTTGCAGATGTGACCTTGAAACTATTTAACCAATCAAAATAAAGGATTTATTGAGTGTAGGTGTTATCCAGAAATTATTTGAAAATTTCAGTCTTAAAACATTTACATTTTACAATAATATTCACCAATGTAGAAGCTGGCACATTTCACAATTGGGGATTAGTTTTTCGTTGAACTAAAAGAAACTGATTTTATTCAGTTGATTACTGTGTAATAATGATATAGATGAAAGAGGTTTGAAAAAGAATGGAAAGAATCATACGTCTTGTTAGATTTCCAACTATCCTACAAGAAATCTATTCACAAAATAACAAATAAACAAGTTTTCTTCTAACTATCATCTCAGCAAAAAGAAAGGAGAGCTAATTAATCATGAAATTTAAATTCACTCTCCTTACATCATGGACACTATTGCCAAAGTCCATACCAGATACTGACTGTGAAGATGACGAAGCGATATTATTTGCACAATATTTAACTGAATACACAGAGAATAAATATGATCTAAATGTATTTTGGCCAAGACAACGTGGTGAAGCATTTCTGCATAATTCATTCAATTCATTTGAAGAGAGATTTTTAACACATTCTGAATATGCGTTACTGATTGTATCTGGTCAAAATGCGTCATGTTTAGATTATATTTATCCAAGATTTCTTGTATTTTTCACAGCAAAAAAATCATGGGCTGAGAGAATTTTAATAATTTTTTTAAAGCAACCAGCATGTTTACTAAATTTCGATCTAAGTTTATTGAAACATCCACCAATTTTATTCAATGATGATTCAACGAATCAATGGATTAATGATCAAGAATCTTGGTTGAAAATAGGAGAACTGATAAAACGTGAGTAAATTTCAATGATAATCGTTTAATTCGGCACTATATGGTTAATTGCAGAGAGAGATTTTACGTACAACATGTGCAATATTTAAACAAATCCCCGTTTTATATTCTATTAATGTGCGAATATTGCCAAAAAATACATATGAAAATATTTTTTCAGCAGAGATTCACCCCAATGTTTTCAGGTAGTTTTGTTCTTATGAAATCTTTCTACATCGATTAAAATATTTAGATTCTAGAATCCTATCGTAATCGACTGACATTGTAGCAAATGCTAAGTGAATCAAGGGGGGTAGTACCATTTAATTTTTACATATTTAACTTTGCTGATTATAAGGTTTTTACAGAAGCGTGTGAGTACGGCAGGTTAAGGTAAATAATTAGTTAGTCTAAAAAGATCCAATTACAGTATTTGCATAGTCTGAAAGTAGGTGACCAAGAGGTTTAAATAATTTTTCAGTAATCATGAGTTTTTAATTAGACCTGTATTTTTGTGCTCAGATAAGTGAATATTATATTCATCTTAGTATCTAACAATTTAGCTTTAGATTGTGGTAGAGTTCTATCAACCATTGGGGTTTTCGTTAAGCTTATCAGCTAATTTACTTGATGTTCCTCCGTAGTTTTTGTTGAAATTGATATTTAAAGCAATTAATCCCTTTGATAAATTTCGATAGTGCAATAAGAAGACGAAGATTATCAGAACTATGTGATATATTAGTGCGATACATTTCGAACAATCTGATCACTTATCACACATACTTGTTACGAACATTTATAGATAAAAATAAAAAGTCAACCAAACTAGAAATTGAGGGGAGGAGGAGACAAGGTTAATGAAGAAAGTAATGTGGAAACAATTTAAAGCCTAATCACTCTCGATAATAAGCTGATATTACCAGGGTAGGTTTAAGGTGAGAACAAACTGTTTTTGAATACACAAAGGGGTTTGAATTTTCGTGTGTCTAAGGCTTCAATAAACCTTAGTATATGCCCTTTTACAATTTTGTACAACACCACGAAAACCGAGTTAAGATCAATCTTATGGTCTATTTCGATTATATGTTTGGCAATAGAGGATGATGGATGTTTATACTCTACTATTATTGGGTCATTTTATTCTATTTGTTTCTGCAACCATTTTGGTACATGTTCATCCACCCTAATTTTCAGATCACGATTGCTCCTCCCTATGTATGTGCAACCACACACAAATTTTATTATTATTGAATAGGAATAATATAATTGTAGAAGGGGTTTTGTGGAGATTTAGTATTTATCATTGTTGAAAGCGTGAGTCAATTGAAGCTAGACCACCATGGAAAACCTGGAAACACTGGACGGCCGTTTCGTCCTATTATGGTCTATCGGTTAAGGGCTTCGGCTCGAGACTGGTAGGTCCTGGGTTCGAATCTCGCTCGCGAGAGCAGGTTCGTGGATGCGCACTGCTGAGGAGTCCCATAATAGGACGAAACGGCCGTCCAGTGTTTCCAGGTTTTCCATGGTGGTCTAGCTTCAATTGACTCACGCTTTCAACATTAATATAATTGTAAAATTACAGCGAATGAATTCTAAGTAAATCCAACGTTTCGCCTGGCAATCCGGTCCAAGCTTTTTCAAGGAAATATAATCAAACAACAAAATTATCGAACTCAGCGCCCAAATACTATGAAACTATTCGCTTTAATTTAGACGAAAGTTCTTATATTTTATTATTATTATTATTATCCACACAGGGGTTTGTGGAGATTTTGGTAATTTTTATAGTTGAAATCATGAGTCAATTGAAGATAGACCACGATGGAAATCCTGGAAGCACTGGATGGCCGTTTCGGCCTATTGTGGGATTTCTGAGCAGTGCGCATTCACGATCCCACCTCGCGAGATTCGAACCCAGGACCTATCAGTCTCGCGTGCGAGCGCTTAGCTACTAGACCACTGAGCCGGCATCCAACGTTGTTAATGTCCAATATCAACCAATCCACGAAACTATTATTATCCTTCTTTCCTCTGCCTCTCAATTTCTACTCTAGTTGACTTTTTATTTTTATCTATAAATGTTCGTAACAAGTATGTGTGATAAGTGATCAGATTGTTCGAAATGTATTGCACTAATATATCACATATTTCTGATAATCTTCGCCTTCTTATTACACTATCGAAATTGATATTGTCCATGAAATCTGATGTTGTGGTTCCGACTCATCTGACTCCAATTAGGGTGAACGTATTATTGTGCTATGAATAGAAATCTTCCTTTTAACTCCATATATTACCTAGGCTACCCCGTTTGTATGACAATGGAAATAAGGAGTCAAGTATGGATGACTTTGGAGGAATTTATTCCAAATATTCATTTACCTAGACAGAGATTCACAACAAGAAATGGTATGCACCACAATTAAAGATATTACCATTGATTTATTAAAATAGTCATTAAATTTCTGTCTGAGTGTATTAACTTGAAAACGTCCCTCTGAAGTAATGAAAATGCTCTGTTAATTAAATTTCATGTAAAGGAATCAAAGACGAAAATAAATATGGTTTTCAGTACAAACTTGGAATATATATACTGTGAAATTTTCAAAAAAATCTTAGAATAAGTGGTTTGTTGAATATCTTCCAGATAGTCACATAAGCCTAGGTATTTTACTAGTTGTCACTTGTCAAAAAAGAGTACCTGCGATCTCGATGAACTTAATACTCTTCAATGGGATTTGAATTTATGTCACTCAGCTTTGCAGCCTGGGATGCTATTCGAGCAGCAGCTGACTTCGCGTAGTATTGCGATATTTAAATTTGATTACCAATGTCATGTTTATTTAGTTCTTTTTAGTGCTGACCGAATTCTACCAATCGCCAACGGATGTCAACTGATGAGACATCTAGGCTCAGGGTTTGCTGTCGACTATCTTTAACCACCTAACATTTCAACATAGTGCTCAAGGTTTTTAGTCTTTTAGGCTTGTGATTATATTTCCACTTGATCGACAGAATTCGTAAAGTAGAAAAAAGACTAGACAAATCTGATAGTGGTCATTACCCAATTAATAATCAGTTGTATTAATTAACTATACCTGTTTTATATTCACTTGTTATTGCTTACTTGAATCTTCCCATTGTTATTTAGGACTGCGATTGATCAGCCTCTTGTTGGCATATATGCATACTGTGCGGATTGCCTCAATATAGCCCCAATTCACAAGCATTATAAGCAAAGATGATCGGTGGCTAGCAGTGGAATCCAGTTTGATGCGCGTTTCGTCTTGTTTGGGACTGGTCAGGTGGATGTACCTGCATCTCAGAGTTGATGTTCACTCTGAGACTCGAACCCAGTACCGTTCGCTGCAAACGCCATCGCGTTATGCCCTTAGCTACTGAGTCCTGATAGCCACTTGCTTGTGCAATTGGGTGAAGTTTAAATTCACTTGGTGTTGTTTACTTGTATCTTCCCATTGTTATTTAGGACTGCAATTGATCAGTCTCCTTGCATATAAAGCTTGTGACTTATTTAAACTTCACCCCATTGCACAAGTAGATGGTTATCAGAACTCAGTAGCTAAGTGCATCACGCGATGGCGTTTGAAGCGAATGGTACTGGGTTCGAGTCTCAGAGTGAACATCAACTGTGAGATGCAGGTACATTAACCTGACCAGTCCCAGATAGGACGAAATGCGCGTCCTGGATTCCACTGCTAGCCATTATCCATTTTTGTTTATCTATTTTATTTCTATATTATGATTTAGAAAACGGTTTATTACTTTACTATTATTTTTTCTCTCTACGTATCATACACATTAGAATGATAATTTTGTATAGGAATGAAAGAAAAGGATTGTATGGTCAAGAAATAATTAAACAAGTATAGTATACGATCAATCACATAATTCAGTTAAAAAGTTAAGACAAAATAGATTTCTTTCATTTGGAAAGTATTCACAGAATCCAGTGAAGAAAGTCATTTCAACGAAATATAGACATATATTTACCATACAACTATAAATACGGATGTATAGCTCAAGTAAATGATTTTGTTCAAAAACATATTTTCTTCACTGAATTCTCTTTATTTTTATTCATTGACACAATGGGTTATTTTAATTTATAGAATTCCAAAGGGATTTCATTTTGAGATTTATGTGATATTGTTTCATATCACTTGGTCTCATGACCTCAAGGAATGTAACTACATTATCTTGATAAATTAACAGATCTCAGTCTTATACAACCCTTGCATAGTATCGTACAATTTATTGCATTTTAAGTACCAGAGTTTTAGCAGCGATTTGAAACACAGAGTTATTTCCTTAATTTCACTGTATTTAGATTGTTAGTTTCTCTGTGTATCACTTTATTTGATCTTCTTATAACAGAATATATTCGTCGGTTTTACTTGACAGAGAATGATATACATTTTACTTAAATTATATTACATAATTTATGTTTACCCTTCAAAATTGAATTATTTTGATTTTATATTCATTAAGTGATATCTAATTTTTTTGTAACATTTTTGAATTTGAGTTTCGAAATATTTTTCACTTATTTATTCTCTGAATAACAAAACATTCACTTTCTAACACACTTGGTTATTCAGTAAACTGATAACCAATCAAGAATATTTTCAATTAGCTGTTTTTATATATATTCATTAGAAATATAAACCATTAGATGCTAAACCACTGGAGTAAAAAATAGGCGTTCTCTACGAGTTTCACTGTCATGGGTTTAAACCTCTAAAAGATCCTGGGTGGAGACTGCTGAGGAGTTCCATACTAGAACGAAATAGCTGTCCAGTGCTTCCTAGTTTTCAATACTTATTTGACAAAAGTTAGTCTATAATACAAACCACGATAACTGCGGAGTTAATTTTCTTATTAAAAATCATAGTCAGAAGGGGATTTGTGGAGATTTCAGTATATTTCAAAGTTTAAATCATGAGTCAATTGAAGCTAGACCACCATCGAAAACTTAGAAGCACTGGACGGCCGTTCCGTCC